TGCGGTGGCTTCCCTTGTTGCGGGGCACAGGCTTCAGTAGTTGTGGCATGCAGGCTCAGTAGTTGTGGCACACAGGCTCTAGAGCTCAGGCTAAGTAGTTGTGGCATATGGGCTTAGTTGCTCCACGGCATGTGGGATCTTCCCAGACCAGGGGTTGAACCCGTGTTCCCTGCATTGGCAGGCAGATTCTTAACCACTGTACCACCAGGGAAGTCCCTAAGAAGGAATTTCTTGAGGGAGACTGTCATCATTCCCATTGCCTGCTTGGGGCAGAGGTTGACTTTGCACTGCTGTAAACTGCTTTGAACTCTGAATTGGAAGAGTGGAGATGATCGAGTACTGTTACCTTTCATTTTAGAAACTCTCCTTGGAACTCTACACAAAGTGAAAAGCTTTGTGGGTGAGACAGTGATAGAGAGAGGGGTGTACTGTTTGGTTTCTTCAAGATGGATATGATATTAGATAGTACCTTGACTAAGAGTCAGCTATAAAGTCAGTATTAATAATACTATGTTGCTTTGCTTACCGGGAGTGGAAAGGAGCTATCGGGAGCAAGCAGTGAGATCTTTCATTTTCAGATAGAACAGTTTAGATCTCACCACATTGGCTACTTTAGTCCCTGCATGAGCAACTTCAGAGCCACAAGCAGGCCCGAGCCGCTGCTGGTGCTGCTGCCGTGCCCCTGGAGGCTTTCCCAGTGGCCTCGTCTTTACAGATAATGAGTGATATTCATCAAGTGCCTACTGCTGCCAGGCGTTGTGCTGTGCCCTTTGTGTGCTTTATCATTTAGTCCTTTCAGTAGTATCTGTTATTATCTCATTTCCCTGAGGCTTCAGTAGTTAAGTAGCTTTTCCAAGGCCACATAGTGGCAAAGATGGGAGTGGAATTGGGTGTTTCTGACTTGCCTGAGGTCCACGCAAGCTGGAGGAGGACTGAAGGCGGAGGTTGGGGAGGAGCGGCTTTGGGGTGTTGCTCCTGCTTTTGCTGTTATGTAAGGGCCGAGGACCATTTCCAACATGTCTCATTTCTCATTGCTGTGGCTTCTCTTGTTGCGGAGCATGGGCTCTAGGCACACGGGCTTCAGTAGTTGTGGCATGCGGGCTTCAGTAGTTGTGGCTCGTGGACTCTAGAGTGCAGGCTCAGTAGTTGTGGTGGACGGACTCAGTTGCTCTGCGGCATGTGTGATCTTCCTGGACCAGGGATCGAGCCCGTGTCCCCTGCATTGGCAGGCAGATTCTTAACCACTGCGCCACCAGGGACACCCTGGCAGGCGGATTCTTAACCACTTCTTAACAACTGCGCCACCAGGGAAGTCCTTCTTATCTTTTCTTGACCTTCTCCTCCCCTGATTGAAAACCAGTCTTGCTACCACCTAGGCTGTTCTCTCCTTCCTGGCTCAGGGGAAAATGCCCACAGGGTAAGGATGAATTGAATAGCGTAACAGGGAGCAAAATAATGTGAAATGCAGAAGGAAAAATGAAGCATGGTTTCAGTTTGCCAGGCATTTTCTCATTTATCTGTTGATTTGATTAGCAGCCAATACCCAGTCAGGGGAGGCAAAGATGGTTATATCCTCATTTTACATGTGAAAAAGTGCTATCAGTGCATATTAAATGATCATCTAGGGCTCCTTGGTAGAAAAATCGGCCTGAGGTTTGAGCTCCACCTCCCAGAATTCTTTGCACTGGACCCATCTGCACATGCCCAACACATGAACTTGTATGTTTAACATACCCCAGGACACCTGATTCCAAAGTAGTATCCCCAAATGCTGACTCGAATGAGCTATTTCTATATATTATGTATGTCATTTGGTGGTACTTAATCAATATGAATCTTGAGACACTTAATTCTGTACCTAACGGCTCCTACAGGCCCCTTTTCAGGTGCCCACTCTTGAGTATCCTGGATAGCAGTTGTTGTTTTTTGGGTAACAGATTCATGAAGGAGTAGATTTCCAGGGGAGAAAACTCCTGGGCTGAGTCTTCTTCCCCAGGACTGTTTCATGGCTCTTGCAGCCGGCCCTCTGACCTTATCTGACTCCTTGCTGGTAGAGGTTTATGGAGATTTTGTTTTGTTTCTTTTGTGTCCAGCTTAGCAGCTTGGAACAAGGCTGACTGACACCAGTCCAGAATGGGCTGTTCTGTGTAACTTCTTGTTCCTCTCGGTTGCTTGGGAGATCAGTGAGCCCATTATCAAATGCTGCTGTGTGTTAAGCCCTGTGGAAGATACAAGGTGGAGAAAAGTGGTTAAAGTACCTAGCAAGGTGCCTGGCATTCATTCATTCATTAACTAGATATTGAACTCCTCTTATGTGCCAGGCTGTGTCCGAAGTACTAGGGATGTAAAGATAGACTCAGTTCTGCCCTCATGGATCTAGTGAAGGGCACTGTCACTGCAGTGGGCATTCAGTAAATGAAATTATTAATATTATCATTAACATTAAGGCTATTAACATAGCAGTAGTGATATTATTAATAGAATAATGAGTGGTTTACCATCTTGATGAGTTATGAGAAATGAAGACATCATATTATCACACCCAGTGGTCTGTCTACATTTCTCTAACTTCTCTTTATCAAACCAGCAGACTCTTGAGAATCAGGGTCCTGTGTGAGTGACTTATTGTGGGTGGTGTAGGCAGGATGCAACCAGGCCTCCAAAGGCCACTCCAGCCTGGCCCCCAGGGGAGCTCTGGCACGTGAGTGGCCTCATAGCTTTCGTGATGTTTGCAGCCATAGGTCATTTCCAAGGGTCACCCTCAGGGGCTGTAAACTCCCAAGTGATTTTGACTAACTCTAGTAGCCTGATAACCGGCCTCTGAAGAAGAGTTGCAGGTGTGAGCCTTTGGAACAAAAATACACACAGAAAAGATTTGGGACCTGGGGAATCCAGCCGGAGAACTGACAGGGCCCCTCTGATTATGACTTGTACTGTATCTGACTGTGAAAAGACCTTCAGAAAGGGATGGCCAGCCCTTCACTTCTGCCTTCCAGATTTTATGCACGTTCCTCTTTGGCCAACTGTAACCCAGAATCGTAGGGGGAAAGGGATTCTAGGAGATGTAGTTCCCAGCTGAACCGTGTTAATGACAGAACAATGACAGTGACAATGACAGCAGTGTTTTTTCTCTTGTGGCTGGAGGATGCTAGGTGTAAAAGTTCATCACTCCTTTAGCTGGAGTAGAACACTGCCTATTTGAATTAGGAGCTTTGACCCCGGGGTTCTGTATTATAAGAGTTAGAGACCGTGAGCATCTTTCTGGAGCTGCAGTCTGGGATCTCACTGGCACCAGGTCTCTTCCTTCCTGGCATGACTTTTTTTTTTTTTTAAAGATTTATTTATTTATTCATTCATTCACACATTCATGCTGCGCCGGGTCTTAGTTGCAGTGCATGGGATCTTCATTGTGGCATGAGGACTTCTTAGTTGCAGCATGCATGCGGGATCTAGTTCCCCAACCAGGGATTGAACCTTGGCCTCCTGTATTGGGAGCGTGGAGTCTTACCCACTGGACCACCAGGGAAGTCCCCTGGCCTGACTTTTTACAAGGACTGCAGTGTTCTTTAAACTGTACAGAGGAATTATGGATGGATAAAATTTGACTAATAAGTTCTTCTTTTTTTTAAACAGTTTTATTTAGATGTAATTCACATACCATGTATTTGTCATCCTTTTAAAGTATACAATTCTACAGTTCAGTGTTTTTAGTATATTTATAAAGTTGTACAGCCCTTAGCACTATCTAATTCCAGAACATTTTCATCACCCCAAATAGAAACCCTGTACCATTAGCAGTCACTCCCTATTCCTGCTTCCCCTAGCCTCTGGCAACCACTAACATACTTTCTGTCTCTATGAATTGGCCTGTAGTGGACATTTCATATAAATGGAATTATAGAATATGTAACATTTTGTGTCCGGCTTCTTTCACTTAATATAATGTTTTTAAGGTTCATCCACGTTGTAGCATATATCAGTACTTCCTTTTTATGGTTGAATAATATTTCATTGTATGATATACCACATTTTCTTTATCCATTCATCAGTTGATGGACATGTGGCTTGTTTCCACCTTTGGCTATTATGGATAATAGTGCTATGAACATTCATGTTCAAGTTTTGTGTGGACATGTGTTTTTCGTTCTCTTGGTTTATACCTAGGAGTGGAACTACTGAGACATATGGTAAGTCTATGTTTCACTTTTTGAGAAGCTGCCATACTGTTTTCCAGAGTGGCTGTGCCATTTAACATTCTCACCAGCAGTGTATGAGCATTGAAATTTCTCCATATTCTCACCAAAACTTGCTATTATCTTTTTGATCATAGCCATCCTAGTGGGTGTGAAGGGATATCTCGTTGTGGTTTTGATTTGCATTTCCCTGATGACTATGGTGTTGAGCATCTTTTCATGTGCTTATTGACCATTTATATATCTTCTTTGGAGAAATGTCTATGCAGATTTTTTGCTTAATATTTAATTAGGTTATTTTTTTCTTGTTGAGTTATAGGAATTATTTCTGTATTCTGGACCACTAGTCCCTTATCAGATATGTGATTTGCAAATATTTTTCCCATTCTTTGGGTTGTCTTTTCACTTGATGGAATCCTTTGCAGAATAAAAGCTTTTAATTTTGATGAAGTTCATTTTATCTATTTTTTCTTTTGTTGTATTGTTTCTGGTGTCATATCTAAGAAGCCATTGCCTAATCCATGGTCATAAAATTTCTTCCTATGTCTTCTTCTAAGAGTTTATAGTTTTAGCTCTTTCATGACCACTAATTTCTTATACTGACTGAGGCTTTAAAAGTTCCCGTTAGCTGTTTGCTAGGGGTAAGTGCTGGGTGAGAGGCTTTTATCCTGGGACTTCTTTTCCTTGCCACCTTGACAAGTCAATCAAGGGGCCCTGGGAAGCACTTGTTCTTCTTGCGGGTGTTTCTAGCTATTTTGCAGTTTCCATATTTCATTGTCTTTTTTGTTTTTTCCTTTTTTTGGGAAGGTAACGAATGAAGAGGACTTTATTAGGAAATTGGACTGCAAACCTGATCAGCATCTGAAAGTGGTTTCCATTTTTGGAAATACTGGGGATGGGAAGTCTCATACCCTCAACCACACTTTCTTTTATGGCCGGGAAGTCTTCAAAACCTCCCCTGCCCAGGAGTCCTGCACTGTGGGAGTGTGGGCAGCATATGACCCAGTCCACAAAGTAGCAGTGATAGACACAGAAGGGCTCTTGGGGGCTACAGTGAACCTAAGCCAGAGAACACGGCTGCTGCTTAAGGTCCTGGCCATCTCAGACCTCGTCATCTATCGAACTCACGCAGACCGGCTGCACAATGACCTCTTCAAGTTCCTTGGGGACGCCTCAGAAGCTTACCTGAAGCACTTCACCAAGGAGCTCAAGGCTACCACTGCCCGCTGTGGCCTGGATGTCCCCCTGTCCACCCTGGGCCCTGCTGTTATCATTTTCCACGAGACTGTGCATACTCAGCTGCTAGGCTCGGGTGAGTAGATGGGGTACCATGTCACACATTGACCTTCCTGGGTGCATCGGGCTGCAGTAGCAACTTGGTGGTGGTAGATTGCCCAGAAAAATTTCTGCTTGGGCAAGACATAAGGAAGTGTCTCAAGAGGGATGGAGTGATTAGCCACGTCAGAATCTGCTCATGATCGGGATGTGGATTGAGAATTGCCTGTTGGCTTTGGCGGGTTGGAGTCCTTGGGAATCTGGATAAGACTGTTTCCCAGGGATGGTGGGCATGAAAGCCTAATCAGAGTGGGATCAAGAGAACAGAAGGAGAAAACTTAAGGTTGTATATTCACCTCTTTCAAAGAGTTCTTTCTATAAAGGGAAGCAGACAAATGAAGTGATAGCTGGAGGCTGATTTGGGACTTCAAGGAGTTTTCCCTTTTTAAAAATTTAAGATGTGAGGTATTGCAGATACATGTGTACTGATGGGAATGATTCACTAGAAAAGAAGAAGTGCAGATGTAAGAGAGAGAGCAGGAGTGATGTACAGGTGGAGGGTTGACTTTAGGGGCATGGACAGTTCATCCATAACAGCAGGAGAGAAGGTAGATTATATGGACATGGTTACTGCTAAGTAGGTAGATGTGGTGGATGTGTGTGTGGAAGTTGTCTCATTGTTTCTATTTTCTTAAAGAAATGGGAAGCAAGAGCATCACCTGAGTGGGAGGGTGAGGGAGCAGGTGCAGTGACAGTGATTGGATGCAGGTAGGGACGGTAGTGTGGGCCCCTAAAACAGTTACATTATTTACGTTCATTCAGTCAACAAAGTCTGTTAAGTGCACAATGTCATGTGCTGAGCACTGGGGCCCCAAGCTGAAAAACAAAAAACAGTTCCCACCCTCGAATAGCTGATAGTCTAGTTGGAGAGACCACACGTGTTCTGTTCTGTGGTGGATGTAGGTCCTGGAGCTGTGAGAGTGCAGAAGAGGGACCCTTTACACCTCCTTATGGGATCTAGGAAAGAGGAGGTGACATTTGAACTCTAGAGACTCGGCTAGATAGAGGAGGGGAGTAAGGATGCTCCAGAAAGAGCAAACCCCTAGTATTTTGAAGAGCTCGTTGTGTCCAGGGAACTGTAGGTAGTTGTAGTGAGTTCCTGGATTCCATTCTCACCCCCTTCAATGCGTCCTCCACAAAGCATGGGGAGTGATGCTTTTTAAAAGCTTAATTTATAATTTAGATCATGTCATACTCTTGCTTCCAACCTGCCAATAGCTTTCCACTAAATCAAAATAAAATCCAGGGCTTTCCTGGTGGCACACTGGTTAAGAAGCTGCCTGCCAGTGTAGGCGACACGGGTTTGAGCCCTGGTCCAGGAAGATCCCACATGCTGCGGAGCAACTAAGCCCGTGCGCCACAACTACTGAGCCTGTGCGCTAGAGCCCATGAGCCACAACTACTGAGCCCACGTGCCACAACTACTGGAGCCCGTGCTCCGCAACAAGAGAAGCCACCGCAGTGAGAAGCCTGCGCACCATAACAAAGAGTAGCCTCCACTCACCTCAACTAGAGAAAGCCTGCACACAGCAACGAAGACCCAGTGCAGACAAAAATAAATAAATAAAAATCCAGGACTTCCCTGGTGGCACAGTGGTTAAGAATCCGCCTGCCAATGCAGGGCACATGGGTTCGAGCCTCGGTCCGGGAAGATCCCACATGCTGCGGAGCAACTAAGCCTGTGCGCAGCTACTGAGCCTGAGCTCTAGAGCCCACGAACCACGACTGCTGAGCCCGCATGCCACAACTACTGAATCCCACGTGCCTAGAGCCTGTGCTCCACAACAAAAGAAGCCACTGCAATGAGAAGCCTGCGCACCGCAATGAAGAGTAGCCCCCGCTCGCTGCAACTAGAGAAAGCCCATGCGCAGCAATGAAGACCCAAAGCAGCAAAAAAAAAAAAAAAAAAAAAANAAAAAAAAAAAAAAAAAAAAAATCTAAACTCCTAATTACGGTGTCCTCACTCTGCCTCCTGCCTCTGTTTCTGAACTCTTTCTCTAGTTACCCCCTTTCACTCTCTCCGCTAGCTATACCAGCCTTTTCTCTGTTCCCATCTTTGCATATGCTACTCTGTCTGCCTGGAACAGTCTTTCCCCAGTTAGCCGTCCTCTTTCAGATTCATCTCAGCTCTCACCCCATTGGAGCCTTTCCCAAGTGTCTCCTTAAAGTGGTCCTTCCTGCACCCTGGTGGTCACAGTCTTACTGCATCACCTTGTTCATGTGCATCAGGGCACCCGTCGCTGTCTGAAATCATCCTGTTTGTTTGCTTACTTGTTTTTGGCCTTTTCCCCTTGGAATGGCAACTCCGTGAAGGCAGGAACCTTGCCTGCCTTATTCACTGCTGCCTTTGAAGAGCCTGGATGAGTGCTTGACACACAGTAGGCTCTCATCAGATATTTGCTGAATGAAGGGGCTCAGTGTGTCTGAAGCATAGATGGTGTGGGAGGGAGTCGTGGACAAACTCAGGGATCAGATCATGCGTGGATGGCCTTGATTTAGGTCACAAGTATGACAAGAGCCCCTGAAGGATTCTAAGCAGAGAGTTACGTGATCAGATCTGTATTTTCAAAAGATCCCCTGCGGCCTTTTGCAGGATGAACTAGAGAGGCATGCCTGGAGGCAGGGAGATGGCCAGAAGGTTATCACCGTACTAGGTGAGGACTGATGGGGCCTGAGCCAGGGCAGGGGCAGTAGGCGGGAAGTGGACAGACTGGGACTGTATTAAGGAGTTAGAATCTGAAGGACCTGGGTCTAGTGGGAAGATGAGAAATCTAAATATTCCGGAATGGAAGAAGAGCCTCATTAGCATTTGACTCTGAGATAAGGAGAGGGGGTTGGAAATGCTGACTTTAGGGTGCCTCCTGTGATCAGCATTTCTATGCCACTTTGGATCTTTACAACTTTGGTGAGGGGAAGGTCTAACTTCCAGTTCAGGATTTTGAAATAACTAGCCTTTCAAAAGTAACTTTTTTTTGGGCTGTGTGCCATGCACTATGCTAGGTGTTTGTTTATTTATTTGTTTTTAAAAAAATAAATGCTGAGGGCTTCCCTGGTGGCGCAGTGGTTAAGAATCCACCTGCCAATGCAGGGGACATGGGTTCGAACCCTGGTCTGGGAAGATCCCACATGTCGCGGAGCAACTAAAGCCCATGTGCCACAACTGCTGAGCCTGCGCTCTAGAGCTCGTGCTCCCAACATGAGAAGCCACTGCAGTGAGAAGCCTGCACACTGCAACGAAGAGTAGCCCTCGCTCGCTGCAACTAGAAAAAGCCCACGTGCAGCAACGGAGACCCAACACAGCCAAACAAACAAACAAAAATGCTGAATAACAAAAATAACATTAAAAAATATTTTTTAGAATTTATTTTTTAAATTTATTTTTATTTTTTGGCTGCGATACGCGGCATTGTGGGATCTTAGTTCCCTGACCAGGGATCGAACCTGCACCCCCTGCAGTGGAAGTGTGGAGTCTTAACCACTCGACTGCCAGGGAAGTCCCAACACTTTCTAAAAATAAATGCTAACTTAAGATATCTTTGTTATTCAGCTCAGTCAACAGCAGCCATATTTTACAGATGAAGAAACTGAACTCAGCTTAGGTTATGTAACCAAGGAGGTTCCAGCTAGCAGGTTGCAAAATTGGGATTCAAAACAAAGTCTCTAACTCCTAAATCCAGAGTTGTTTCTGGAATACCATCACTGTTTCCTGAAACCTTGAGATGGAACCAAGACAGCCAGAGTTTATGCAGGGTAGGAGAGGTGCCAAAATTGTGGGCAAATTGATAATTACATATTTCTCTGTCTTGTAGACTTTTGGATTTTGTTAGATCCTGGTCTTTTTCTGGGATTCCTAGGTGGGAGTTAGTAGGCAAATGAATTATCTCTGTTTTACAAACAAGCAGACCAAGCTCCCATAATCATTTGGGAGCAATTACTTGTTCAGGGGCAAGCTGTGAGCTGATGTTGGGAGAAAGTGAAGGTGGTCAGGCTTCTGGGTGCCTTTGGGAGAAGTCACTTGCTGATGGGCTGCTCCTTCCTTCAAGAGTGACTCACAGGAAGAGTTCAGGAGGAGATGGGGTTAGGGATTGACTGCAGAATTTTGGCTACTTCTCTTTGATGACTGTACCTTTAAATATGAGCTAAAGCCACATTTCCAGTGTTAATTGGAGTGATTTTGTTGTTAAAGAAAATTTAAAAGTCCTTCCAAGTTTTACCTCCAAAATATTTATTGCATCTGTTTATACTGCTACTCCCCAAATTTCTGGATAAATGTTGGTGAAACTATGGGGAGGCTGATACCCTCACACGTTGGCAGTTTGTCCACAGCTTCACCAGCATAAGGCCAGCACTTTCAAAGTAGCTATTTATTTTAAATGTTCGTTTGTAGGTGACTGGTGGAATACGTCCATAGAATAGAAGACTGTGTAGCTGTTAAAAAAGAATAAGGAATGTCTCAGAGTATAACATGACAAGGACACATATTTACAGTATGTTATTAAGTGATGAAAGCAAGTTGCATAAATGTGTTGGTAATTGAGTAAGAAAAGGAAGTCTGAAAGTGTAAACATTGGCCTGTAGTTACCTTTGATGAGGAGGAGGAGGGAGCAGAGGATGTACATTTCTTTCCTTTTATGCTTTGACATGTTTGGATTTTTTCTTTTTAAATAAATTTATTTATTATTTCTTTTGGCTGTGTTGGGTCTTCGTTGCTGCACGCGGGCTTTCTCTAGTTGCGGCGAGCGGGAGCTACTCTCGTTGTGGTGTGTGGGCTTCTCATTGCGGTGGCTTGTCCGTTGCGGAGCATGGGCTCTAGGCACGTGGGTTTCAGTAGTTGTGGCACACATGCTCAGTAGTTGTGGCTTACAGACTAGAGCTCAGGCTCAGTAGTTGTGGTGCACAGGCTTAGTTGCTCTGTGGCATGTGGGATCTTCCCAGACCAGGGATCGGACCCATGTCCCCTGCATTGGCAGGCAGATTCTTAACCACTGAGCCACCAGGGAAGTCCATGTTTGGATTTTTTACAGTGAGCACATTTTTTTTAAAAAGGCACTTCCTTGAAATGTAACATACATACCAAAAAGTGCACATTATATCAAAAGTGTATATGTGATGCATTTTCACAAGCTGAGCATACATGTGAATTCAGTACTAGATCATGACACACCAGCACCCACGTCCCAGCTTGTGCTCCCTTCTAGGCAAAGGTAACCTGAATTCCAACAGCATAGATCAGTTCTGCCTGTTTATGTACTTTATATTTACGGAGTCAGACTATATATCCCTTTAATAATGAAAGACAGGTGACTTTTTTTTTTCTTTTAAAGAGAGGCCACTGTTCACGTACCTGTTTCTGCTTGTCCAGATCACCCCTCTGAGGTGCCCGAGAAGCTCATCCAGGACCGGTTCCGGAAGCTGGGCCGCTTCCCTGAAGCCTTCAGTTCTATTCATTACAAGGGAACGAGGACATACAATCCTCCCACAGACTTTTCTGGTCTTCGACGTGCTTTGGAGCAACAACTAGAGAATAACACCACCCGTTCTCCCCGACACCCGGGGGTCATCTTCAAAGCCCTGAAGGTCAGTTGGCTTCTGCCCCGAGTGCTTCTCATGGGGGTACCAGTGGGTGGTAAGAACACTCAATTCTCCAGCTTTTGTCGATGCCAGTGATTAGAAATCTGGGCTTGAAAGAGAGGATATATGAAAGGAAGGGCATGAGTAGAGTTTGCACCTGTTGAATGGCCTCATCTTGCCAGGAACACGAGTATGGAGGAATCTTGGATGATAGGTAAAAGGTGACAGGTCCTCATCTTGGAGAAAAACCTTATTTTACCATTCTTTATAAGGAATTCATCAAATCAATTCCTGCCAGTTCTGCTTCCTTTTTTGCAGTTTGCTTTGTGTATACCTCTGTGTCACCGTGCCTGCAGACTGAGTACAGAGGAGCAGGGAGGGAGCAGGGCCTTTGGGGCAGTGCTGGGAGTGTGGGATTTGGAGAAGGGACAGCAAGTGTGGACACGAAGACTTGAGCTAGGGATTTGAGGGTGCCCTGACAGTTAGGGCATAGAGCCTGAGACTGGAAGGGTTAGGAGGAGTGCTTTTGCATAAAGCTAGGTCAGCCCTGGTTTACCCAGCAACAGACTTTGGGCATATGCTGATTTGCTTAATCCATTGAGTTTAAAAAGTTTGCAGTGGGACATAATGTAAACAATTTATGAATCTGGGTAAATTGTATATGGGAGTTCCTTGTACTATTCTTGCAACTTTTCTACGAGTTTGAAATTATATCAAAATGAAAAGTTAAAAAGAAAAAGGGGGGGTGGTGGATGAAAAGTTACCCCTCAAAAATGGTTTATGGTTTTTGCATAGTGCTTGGTAAAGGCTGGATGTTTGTATCCTCCCAAAATTCATATGTTGAAATCCTAATGCCCAATGTGATGGAGGGCTTTTGGGAGGTGACTGGGTCATCAAGATGGAGCCCTCATAAGTGACATTATAAAAGTGCTCTTATAAAAGAAGCCCCAGAGTGGGATAGGGAGGGAGACGTGAGAGGGAGGGGATATGGGGATATATGTATACATATGGCTGAGTAACTCTGTTATACAGCAGAAACTAACACAACATTGTAAAGCAACTATACTCCAACAAAGATGTTAAAAAAAAATAAAAAGAAGAAGCCCCAGAGAGCTCCCTAGCCCCTTCCACCAAGAGAGGACACAGTGAGAAGGCACCATCTGTGAACCAGAAAGCAGGCCCTCACTGGAAGGCCGCCATGCTGGCACCCTGATCTTGGACTTCCAGCCTGCAGAACTGTGGGGAATAAATTTCTGTTGTTAATAATCTACCCAGTCTGTGTTATTTTGTTATAGCAGCCTGAATGGACTATAAAAGCTTGGGCTTTGGAGTCAGACAGACTTGTGTTGGAATCCCATTTCTGCCATTTACCTGCTGCTTGGTCTTAGGAAATTAGTTTGTCTTTCGTGTGTTCATTCATTCAACAAATAAATGAGTGAATCTTTGTGCCAGGTAGAGTTTCAGGTGCTGGGAATACAGTGGAAAATAAGATAGACAACAATCCTTGCCCTTATTGTACTTCTTCAGACCTTTTTCCTCGTCTGTAAAAAAGGGGCAATAGTAGGATGTTCCTAATGAAGTTGAGGAGGGGATTCCTAATGAAGTTCCTAATGAAGCTGAGGAGGGGATTAAATGAGAACGCATACTTTAAGAAGCAAAGTACTTGGTATATAGTAAATGTTCCATAAGTGTTAACTAATGTGAATAATGTTAAGGGAAAAAAACTATGAAAAATGATTATATTTGAATAATTCATGAAATACATATTTCTAATTAGAATTTGAGGTTAAAGTATACCTAGATTTATTGGCTACTGTCCATTGTAATGGCTCAAAGGTAGTCAAGTGGAAGATTACACCCAAGTATTGCAAGCATTCTTAAAAGAGGCCGAATCCATGCTATGTTATACAAAGGGCTGTAAAATCTGGTAAGTATGAATATTGACGACTAGGCCAATGGCTGGATTCTAGAGTTCCTTAGATTTTCTCAAAGCTAACCCAGCTCAAAGTTTAAATAAGACCTTCAGGGACACTGAGTGCTCTAAGCAGTAGTTAGTGGTCAGGGATTCTACCCTCAGGTGTCTTGGATGTCCTACTCCAGGCCAGTTTGTTAGGTACTTAAAAAAAAAATAAATTTATTTATTTATTTATTTATGGCTACATTGGGTCTTCATTGCTGCGCGCAGGCTTTCTCTAGTTGTGGCAAGCGGGGGCTACTCTTTGTTGCGGTACACAGGCTTCTCATTGCGGTGGCTTCTCTTGTGGAGCACGGGCTCTAGGCACGCGGGCTTCAGTAGTTGTGGCACGCATGCTCAGTAGTTGTGGCTCGTGGGCTCTAGAGTGCAGGCTCAGTAGTTATGGTGCGTGGGCTTAGTTGCTCTGTGGCATGTGGGATCTTCCTGGACCTGGGATCGAACCTGTGTCCCCTGCATTGGCAGGTGGATTCTTAACCACTGCGCCACTGGGAAGTCCCATTGTTAGGTACTTTTGAGAAAAAGAGTTATAGTGTATTCTTATGAAGTGATATGATTCATGAAGCTTTCTGTGATTAAAATGAGCCTGGTCAGCTGGAGTTTTGAGGCTTCTAGGTAAGTGCTGTCCTCAGAGTTTACCTGGCTCCTATATTTTCTGTTCTCTGAGGCAGGGTCTGTGCTGTACTGAGATGTGGGCCCACTGCTCTGTGCATGGGAAGGAGTTACCTGTTTAAGCATGTGTTTTGGGCTCTCCCCAGGGAGCTGTGGGGTCTTGGAACTTACTCAAATCCTTGAAAAAATTGTTTTTGTCTTTTTCTGGTTGTTGTTTTGTTTCAATTAGAAGTTGTTAATTCTCTGGTAATCACTCTAATAGAAAACTACCTTTAAGGTCTGCATTAGGCAAATTGACCCAGGAGAGTTTTATTGCTGTTAAAATACACTCTTCATAGTTTATAGCAGTGGATAATATAATGGTCGTTTATTTTTCTCCACTTATTTTTTGTTTTGTGTTGTATTTTTTTTTTTTTTTTTTTTGCAGTACATGGGCCTCTCACTGTTGTGGCCTCTCCCGTTGCGGAGCACAGGCTCCGGACGCGCAGGCTCAGCGGCCATGGCTCACGGGCCCAGCCGCTCCGCGGCATGTGGGATCTTCCCGGACTGGGGCACGAACCCGTGTCCCCTGCATCGGCAGGCGGACTCTCAACCACTGCGCCACCAGGGAAGCCCTTGTGTCGTATTTTTTTAAAAAATAAGCAGCCTTGAATCCTTTTTGGAACAAACGAGCAGGGATGGTCATAAGCAGATAAATTATCAGTGCCAAAATAACTTGTTTGGCTTTCTGATTCTTCCATTTTTTTTCTTTCTCTCCTGGTATTTATGCTTTACCTTGTCCAGTTCCTCACTAACTTACTGAGTAAACACTTCAAGAAGCCTAGGAATATATTCCAATATGATTTTGTTTCCTATATGATTTTCTTTTTATTTTACATAAAGTATGCAGGAATATTGTTAGGAAAAAATGTATAAACCTTTTGGAAAAATGGAGAGACAAATCACATAAGAGGCAGTCAAGACTGTGATGCACAAATAAAAAAATCTCAACTCTCTAGTAATCAAAGAAATTAAGACCACAACCATGCAAGGGCAAACACTGACAAGTTTGGCAATAAAATGTCAAAAAGGGTATGAAGCAATGTAAACTCTTATAAACTTCCAGTGGAAGTAAAATTAGTACAACCACTTTGAAATGCAATAGTATAGGTAAAGATATGCATAATATATATTCTAATCATATCATTTCTAGGAATTTGCCTTAAAGAAACTCTCCCACAGGAACACAGAGAACTATGTGAGGAAGTTAATAGCAGCATCCTTGTAATAGCAAAGAAAAACTGTGTGCAAAAAATAGATAAATAAAAATGGGGTATTATATGATTCTTTGCTACTTATTTTAAAAAGAGAATTGGGGTTGTGATGTATGTGTGTACACTTAATATACCTTTTTTTTCATGGAACATTGAAGCCTAGCATTTTTTCCATGCTATTAAATATTTCTATGAAAACATGTTTTTAAAATAGCTCCATGCTTTTTCATTTATATGAATGGATCATTTTTTACATTTAGTAATTCTGCCCTTATTTTAATAGTAGTTTCCCTTTTTCCTTATTATACTTTCCAAGTATTTAAAGGTATTGCCCACATTCTGCCTGTTTCCTTAGGATAAGTGACAACTCCCAATACTACTGCTGGCCAACCTTTCTGGAGTGTTTACTAATGCCATGTACTGTGCTCTGCACCGCACGTGTATTCATTCTTTTAATCCTCATACCAACTCTGAGGTGGAGAAATGGAGGCACAGAGAGGTTCATTGATTGGCCTGAGATGACTCCTCTAATAAGTGGTGGAGAGATTGAACCAGATAGTCTGACTCCCAAGTCTATATAACCCTGTGTTGTCTTCCTTCTCAGTAGTTACTCAACTTTTAAGAAGGTCAGAAGGTGTGGTCATCTTTAAAGGTTCCTGATGCATATTGCCAGTTGCCTTTAGAAAGGACATTCTTATAAGTTGTATTTGTGTGTTTGGTTAATTTAAAAAGTTATTTTTTAAATTAGAAAGCAATGTGTGTTTGTGATAAACGACTCAAATAGTACAGAAACATGTAAGATATGACTTAAGTCCCTTTCTCTCCTCTCCCCTCTCACTGTATGATAACTGTTGTTAATACTTTCTTGTTTATGCCTCTAGAAATTTTTGGTGCTACATAAGTGCATACAGAAGTATATGTATATAATGTATATGTATATTTTCTCCCTAAATATATCGGATCCTAGAGAAGTTAAATCTTTTTTCCTTCTCCATATTCTCTTTTCATGTTCGTTATTGAAAAGGAAATGTGATTAATGAGAAAGATTGAGGAGTTTGTAGAATGTGTGTGAGTGTGTGAGTGTGTGTGTGTGTGTGTATGTGAGTGAGCGTGAATGAGAGAGAGATCTACAGTCTCTTTCTGCTCTAGCTGCTTGCCCCTATGTTTCCCGATTCATCCTGCTGACCTGATCACTCTTCCTACCATTTAGCCATGTTGTGGTCCAGGCTCCAGTCCCTTTTTTCCAGCTGGGTTATTTCCCCCACTTCTTGACCACTCACTCCTTTGCTCTGTTTCCACAGTAGCAACAGCCCAGATACCTACCAGCAGGGCATATTCTCACTGATCAAGTAAGTCTATTTAAAGAAAAGAGATGCTTAGGTCCCTACTGAATAAGGGAATTGAATATTGAATTAACTATTGTTGCCTGTATTTACAGTTCTGAATAATGGAGAGAACAATTTTAAAGTTGAATTCGATAGGTTTTATGTAATACCTCCTTTAGCCTCCAATCTCTAAATCTAGAAACTCTGACTTTCTAATTCTGTCACATCAGGAAGCACCTATTAAGTATTTATAAAGTTATTATATTTTTTGGGGGGGTGGGTGGCATCATGGATTACATAAGAGTCTCCATTTCAAATCAAAATTCACTGCTAGCCTTTGGTGACTGGGGCTAAACTTACAGGTTCAGTAGTAAGAGCCCTACTGTTGCCAAGGCAACTAAAGTTCAAGATCATCTGCCCTCCAGGCAACCTTTTCCAGATTGGCCTCAAGTGCTTTCCCAAGCTTTCTCAGGAAAGGTCCTTCCCTGTCTCTTACGGCTTTGGGACCTCAGGAGGAGGAGAGCCCAAGAAACCCTGGAATGATGTGAGGTTTGGAATTTTTGAAGGACGAAGTGTGTGGATTAGGTGGTCATGTCCACGCTGGAAAGGAACAATCAGGTTATAGAGGAAGGAAAACAGTGTCTCCTTACCCTTGTATCTAAAACACGTGAACATCAGATTTTCTTTTTAACAGTTACTGTTTTATTCACATACTCATGATTCAGTAAGTCCTCCTGATGCTTGTAAGTTCTCATTCATTACTGACTGCCAGCTCTTCAGTGACTTGTGAGGGAAATGAGATGCTTGTGTTACCCAGCATTTGAGAGGATGGGTGACCAGCATCTGAAGTGATGAGGCTGGTTGGTCTAGGAGTTCTTCTCTTTCTGATGTCACAAGAAGTTACTGTTGCCTTGGCCAACATAATGTCTAGGGCAGGTGATGATGGTGGTTCTGTGGGGATTTGTCCCATGGGAATCAGGCTGCAGATCGTTTTATGCTTAGCCTTGAGACACTTAGAAATGCCCCCATTTTTCTGAAGAACTTTCAGAGAAGTGAACCAGGCCACTTGAATTTGGAATAGAAAAAACCTTGTGCTTATCACTATTATTGGGCTGCAATTTTATATTTACTGGAGAGTGGCATGCCTTCTGAATTCAACCCAGCTGTTGGATTCATGCTAAATTTGGCATTATTTTTCCTAAGGAAAACTAGTACTTAGGTTACCCTTTCAGTTACCTGGGGCTAAAAATGCTATTCTTTGGTTTTCCTTATACCTCCTTAGTAACTTCTGCATTCCTTAGTTAGCTCTGCGTTTTTTCTTTCTTATTTTTTATTTATTTATTTTTTTTGCGGTACGTGGGCCTCTAACTGTTGTGGCCTCTCCCGTTGCAGAGCACAGGCTCTGGACGCGCAGGCTTAGTGGCCTTGGCTCACGGGCCTAGGAGCCCCGCGGCATGTGGGATCTTCCCGGACCGGGGCACGAACCCGTGTCCCCTGCATCGGCAGGCGGACTCTCAACCACTGCGCCACCAGGGA